TTATTGACCATTCCCAGTCATTCACAGCTGTGAAGGGAAATGAGTCTGTAGCGAGTAGGTTAAACGAGGACTACTACCGTTCGAAAAAAATGAGGTAATGATAATATCTCATTTTCGTAATTATCAGGAGAATTTGTTAAGCCATTACGAATATATGACACTTGGGAGGGACATGAGGACAGTGTTCTTGGGACGCAGGTGAGGAATAGTGTCCTGCCACTTGGACCATCCGGGATATAACGCCAACCTGGATGAAGCAAGGCCGTTGCTGTACCAACCAGTGCAAATGGATTTGATAAGTTTCCGGTTGAGTGTGAATGTCCTGGTAACCTCTGGGAAGCGGGTAAACATTACAAATCTGACTCAATCTTCACCCGACACGATGAGTTTGGAGACTGCTGAAGCCTGTTGAAGCATAATAAAATTTTCTCCAGTGGAATATTTCCTTGTTAAAGTCTTTGTTATTCTGATGACTTGTTTGACCTGAGGAGAGATTCCATAACTCGTTCAAAAATGAGTTATCTCTTATCTCTAGATACTAGTAGAGAGGAACCCCGAGGATATGGAATATTTACCTAAGTTGATAACTTTTGTCCATACCTTTCCAGTGGGAATCACAGTTTTGCTACTTATTACACAGTTCTGTCAATATTTTTATTTGGCCTGTTTAAAAAATGTCAGCTGTTCAGCCTGAGCACGTCTGAATTGACGTCTGCTAACCAATGAACTAGTATTGCTATTTCTTGGATAAAAAGTTCTAGTAATATTCCTTAAGGACTCGAACTCTGGAGGAGCATTTCGAAATGGAATTTCTGGTTGTGTCTACAACCACGCCGATTAATCATCAACTGTAATGTGAAATGCTGTCTCCCGGTACACCCTCGACGCTGAGTGGACGTCTGGCTCCTGTTACAACCTCGACGCTGAGGGGACGTCTGGCTCCCGGTACAACCTCGACGCTGAGTGGACGTCTGGCTCCCGGTACACCCTCGACGCTGAGTGGACGTCTGGCTCCCGGTACACCCTCGACGCTGAGTGGACGTCTGGCTCCTGTTACAACCTCGACGCTGAGGGGATGTCTGGCTCCTAGTACACCCTCAACGCTGAGTGGACGTCTGGCTCCCGGTACACCCTCGACGCCGAATGGACGTCTGGCTTCTTCTCCATCAAAGGGGTTGCCGGAAAACGTGTTGAGTTTATCCCGTTTGGTTTCGATACTGTCGTAAGCCATCCCTTATCAACAGCCAGTCAACGGGTGTTTTGATGTCCTCGTGTATCGTCCGGACGTGGTGGGTGTCTGGCACTTGCTAAGGTGTTTAGACACTGGAAGACGTTGCTGCAATTTGGCTCGAGTGGACTATAATATCTGGTCGGATTCTAAGAACTCATAGGATGCTCGACGCTCATATGGTTTGCGGTTACAGAGCGTCGACAGGCACCTTGACACCCGCTCTACAGTGTCGAATTCGGTATTCGCCTTCCTTGGAAAAACCAGGAGTCACCAAGTATTTGCATACAGCCGCAATACTTCGAGTGTCTCAGGACAAGGAAATACCGAGGAACACGCAGTCTTTGAATCGAAATCAACAACATCCCAGGTGGCAGCATGGTCGTAGATGTCATACACACATTCTGTCCCTCACATCCACGTTTTAATATTATTTCGTGTATTTACACTGAGAGTTAATAGAAAGCCTTAAATGGTCCAATGTAGTGTTGGTTCAACATCAATGGTGCTATCATTTGCAAAGTCAAGTCGAATTAGTCCTTACCTAAACTCTCAATTGATTTTAGCCGTTGTCGCCGTTGGTATTATATGTATTGAAATAAAAATTTAATCCTCCCGTGAATTAATTTTATTTCCCAGTTGCTAGTAATACAGTCATGCCTTACAAGATCTCTGATATATTGCCTTTGTCTTGACAATATTTGCAAGAAAATTGCTTTTCAGGTAAAAAAATAAGCAGATTTTAATTATGAAAAACATTTTATAAGAACAAATTATTTAGAATATTAAATTGATGAAGGTGGAGGGGCAGGTAGGTGGTAGATGGAGAGGTGAGGGCAGGTAGATGGTAGATGGAGAGATGAGGGCAGGTAGATGGGATATGAAGATAGGAGGGCAGGTAGGAGGGTGTTGAAGATAAGCATCTTCCATCTTCCTGCTTCTAATTCTAGTAATTTATATGACTGGTGGTGTGGGCTTAGCGATGATGGTGTTTAATGGTGGTTGCAGTGACACCATTGAGTGAGGAGGGGAGGTGACAGTGATGAGAGGGTTGTGACCATAATGATGTGGGTGATGGTGTTGAGAGTGAAGTTTCAAATGGTAGTTATGATTGTGTTGGTGATATGGTAATTGTGATGGTTATGGTGTCATGTAATGGTTGTGGTGGGGGCTGCTGTAGTGTACTCACCTAGTTGTGCTTGCGGGGGTTGAGCTCTGGCTCTTTGGTCCAGGTTTTCAAAGTGGAGTGTGGTGTCTGAGGTGGTGGTGTGATGGTGTGATGATTTTAATAGTGATGTCATAGTGGTGGGGGGGGATGATACATGGTTGTGCTGGAGTCTTGTGAGTACGTGGTGGTGAGTTCAGTGGTTATGTGGTAGAACTGGTTATGGTGGTGGTGTTATCTAGTTGTCTTTGTGTATTAGTTGTGGTTGATGGTGGTAGAATTTTTTTGTGGTTGTTGGGGGTGTGGCAGTTATGGTGGTGGTTGTAATTGCGGATAGTGGTTTGGTGATATTGCGGTGAATGGTGGTGGTTCTGTTGGTAGTTTGTTAGTGGTGGTTGATGGTGGTATTGGTTGTTTGGGTTTTTCAGGTGATGATTGGGGAAGTACTGGTAGTGGATGGTAGTTGTCATGTTGGTGGTCATTGTAATAGTAGCAATAGTAGTTGATTGAAGCAATGGTGGTAATTGTTGTTGTAGCAGCGCCGGTAATTGTGGTGGTAGCGTTAGTAGCAACCGTGCTTGTTGTAGTAGCAACGGTGGTAGCTGTAACAGCTGTGGTTATGGTAGTGGGGGTGGTAGCTGTGGTTGTAGCTTTAATAACAACAGTGATTTTTGTGGTAGTAATGGTGGTAGTCGTTATATTAGCGGTGGTGAGTGTAATAGCGGTGATTGTTGTGGTAGTAGGAATGGTTATTATGCCAGTTGCGGAGGTAGTTGTGGTAGTAATTGGTGGTATAGTTGTGGTAACAGTTGTTGTGGTTGTAATAGTGGTAGTTGTAACTGTGACAGTGGTACTTGAGGTGAGATATAATGACTGGGAGAGTAATTAGCGCTGACTTGAGTTAGCGGGAGTAGTTAGGAGAAGCTTGAAGAGCCAATAGCGGTGGTAACAGTTAGCTGAGCTTGCTTTTAGGGGTTAGCAATCAACGATGGGTGATGTGGTAGTGGAAGCCAGTAGTTGATGTGATGGTAGTTAACGGTAGTAATTGTGGTGGTTGGCTGGTAGGTAGGTGCTGGTTGGTAGGCGGCTAACACGAAAGAATCACAAAGAGGCTTTAACATTCACGACAAAAAATATATATATGTATATACAGTGTGTGTTGTATTTATTGGAGTAAACACTGAAAAAAACAATGTTGGTGTAGGTCCTATTTACATATATATTTTTAGAGGCCTCTTAGGCCTATATTATATATTGTGATGAGGTGCGGAGATAGAGAAATCTTTGTCTGTCACTACTATATCAACGACGAACACAAAACAAGACTTTCGGTACTTGACAAGCGTATGTCTAGCAGTGTTTTGAGCAGTGCCTGGGGAACCGTAGGTCACTGCCAGGGAGGCAGGGGGAGGGGGGAAGGAGCAGGTCAATCTCTGGGGTCAAAGGTCAGTTACTAGAGTGGGGGGGAGGGATATATGCTACAGAGGGGTAAGGGGAGAGTTAATGTTGGGAAGGTCAGTGACCATGGCTATATGGATCTGTCAGCGGTGTCTTTAAATCACTGCTCGAGTTTATAACAACATGTCACTGCTTGTAGTCACAGCCAGGGTGCCGTTACCTGTACGCACTATACCACAACGACACTGCTGGTGGTCACCTCCAGGTCCTCACTACCTGTTTACCTGTGATCATTACGAAAGGTTCTTGCCTGAGCACCACTTCCTGAGCACCATATAACTCGTATTACCGACTCAGATAAAATATGATGGGAACCTCGCCACCTGAGATGATGGGAACCTCACATCTTGAGATGATGGGAACCTCACATCTTGAGATGATGGGAACCTCACATCTTGAGATGATGGGAACCTCACATCTTGAGATGATGGGAACCTTACATCTTGAGATGATGGGAACCTCACATCTTGAGATGATGGGAACCTCACATCTTGAGATGATGGGAACCTCACATCTTGAGATGATGGGAACCTCACATCTTGAGATGATGGGAACCTCACATCTTGAGATGATGTAAATCTTCCTCCCTAGAGACAGGAAGGAAGGAAGGGCTGATACAAAAAAAACTGCATATACGAATTTCCTCTTCATTCGGAGTGTCTTCCATTTGTGTAGAAGTGATTGAAAATTAATGTGGCTAAATTAAGGGTAATAGACTGACAGGAAGGAGGAAGATGAATGATAAAGATAATGAGAGAGAGATAATGAGAGAGAGAGAGAGAGAGAGAGAGAGAGAGAGAGAGAGAGATAGTTAAGTCTCTCAAGACTTAGTCTCTAAAGAGTAGAATTCTCTAAATTCTAGAGTCTCTAAAGAGTCTCTGAGAGTCTCTAAAGAGTCTCTGAGAGTCTCTAAAGAGTCTCTGAGAGTCTCTGAGAGTCTCTAAAGAGTCTCTGAGAGTCTCTAAAGAGTCTCTGAGAGTCTCTAAAGAGTCTCTGAGAGTCTCTGAGAGTCTCTAAAGAGTTTCTGAGAGTCTCTAAAGTGTCTCTGAGAGTCTCTAAAGGGTCTCTGAGAGTCTCTAAAGAGTCTCTGAGAGTCTCTAAAGTGTCTCTGAGAGTCTCTAAAGAGTCTCTGAGAGTCTCTAAAGAGTCTCTGAGAGTCTCTAAAGAGTCTCTGAGAGTCTCTAAAGAGTCTCTGAGAGTCTCTAAAGAGTCTCTGAGAGTCTCAAAGTAGAATTAAGTAAAAGTTCTCCTCCGTTGTGACGTATTGGAGGTGTTGTGGTGTAGCTGTGAGGTATATATAAGTGACGTACTGTAGATTTGACGTACTGTAGCTGTATCATTTTGTAGGTGTGACGCACTATACGGGTGACGTTCAGCAGGTGATGTACAGCAGCTGTGACGTACTTTAGCTGTGACGCACTCTTGCTGTGACGTACAACAGGTGTGTAGCTCCAAATATGACGTAATTCAGCAGTGATGAATTGCAGGTGATGTACAGCAACTGTGACGGACCGCAGCTGTGACGGACCGCAGCTGTGACGGACCGCAGCTGTGACGGACCGCAGCTGTGACGGACCGCAGCCGTGACGAACCGCAGCTGTGACGTGTTACAGGTGTGGCATTGCTGGTGTCGCACTTGGCATGGCGTCACAGGTGTTACGAACAGGGCCTGGTCTGTGTGACGGCGTGACGGACCAGTAACGCTATAAACATACACGTCACCAAGACAGGAGACCCGTTCACGTTACGCCCTGTGGAAGAAAAAGGGAGGCGTCACACCGGTGAGATGAGACGGGAGGGAAGACATAAGGGAGGGAAGACATAAAAGAGGGAGGGAAGACATAAGTGAAGGAAGAGAGACATAAGTGAGAGAGAGAGAGAGAGAGAGAGAGAGAGAGAGAGAGAGAGAGAGAGAGAGAGAGAGAGAGAGAGAGAGAGAGAGAGGAGATGTAGGAGAGAGATATAGAGGGAGAGGGATAGTGAGGATAGATGTAGGGGAGAGATATGGAGTGTAGGGGAGAGATATGGAGAGAGACAGAGAGAGAGAGAGAGGAGATATTATTCACATCATTATTGTTATTAATTTAATAATAATAATTATTTGTATTTGTAGTATTGAAAGACATTTTGATATTGAAATTGTAAATAGTAGTAGCATTATAATAGTAGTTTTAGTAGTATTGGTAGTAGATGTAGCAATAGTAGAAGTAGATGTAGCAATAGTGGAAGTAGCAGTAATAGTCTACGGGTTTATTCCATTTCTTTTGTCTATTATAAAGTTGTGTTCAAACGTCTAATGACAGTCCACTCCCCTAAACCACCTCTCATGAAGCTCCACACCTGAAGACCCACACCTGAAGCACACCACACCTGAAGCACAGCACACCTTACGCACACCACACCAAAAGCACACCACACCTGAAGCACACCACACTAAAAGCACACCACACCTGAAGCACAGAACACCTTACGCACACCACACCAAAAGCACACCACACCTGAAGCACACCACACTAAAAGCACACCACACCTGAAGCACACCACACCTGAAGCACACCACACCTGAAGCCCACCACACATGAAGCACACCACACCATAAGCACACCACACCTGAAGCACACCACACTAAAAGCACACCACACCTGAAGCCCACCACACATGAAGCACACCACACCTGAAGCACACCACACCTGAAGCACACCACACCTGAAGCACACCACACCTGAAGCCCACCACACATGAAGCACACCACACTAAAAGCACACCACACCTGAAGCACACCACACCTGAAGCACACCACACTAAAAGCACACCACACCTGAAGCACACCACACCTGAAGCACACCACACCTGAAGCCCACCACACATGAAGCACACCACACCATAAGCACACCACACCTGAAGCCCACCACACATGAAGCACACCACACCATAAGCACACCACACCTGAAGCACACCACACTGGAGCACACCACACCTGAAGCACACCACACACACACACACACCTGAGCACGGGGGCACACCCAACAACTCACCAACCAAATACTCCACACTACACCCCTCCCCACCTCAAGCACAGGAGGATAACGTTGCCTCAGCTAGTAATATAGACCGTGTAAACACCGTCTCTCGTCTTCCGCAGTAAGTCACTACATCAATTACCCATAATTCCTAACTTTTTTTTTATTATCTATTCGCTTCCTCTCCCCCCCCCCCCCCCCCCCCGCCCCTCTGCCCCTTTGGGTCCCCCTCTGCCCCTTTGGGTAGTGTTGTTGCGTGATCATTATTATTTTAGTGTTGATCAAGGAAGCTGGAGCCCGTGCCGGAGAGTTCCTTATTTATTGGTCTCACGTTGCCTCGATGAGCAGGTGTACTCTCTTGAGTGCCTGTACACTCTTGAGTGTGTGTACACTCTTGAGTGTGTGTACTTGTGCTTGGGTTAGAAAGTGTGTGTGTGTGTGTGTGTACTCACCTATATGTACTCACCTATATGTGCTTGCAGGATCGAGCATTGACTCTTGGATCCCGCCTTTCTAGCTATCGGTTGTTTACAGCAATGACTCCTGTCCCATTTCCCTATCATACCTAGTTTTAAAAGTATGAATAGTATTTGCTTCCACAACCTGTTCCCCAAGTGCATTCCATTTTTCTACTACTCTCACGCTAAAAGAAAACTTCCTAACATCTCTGTGACTCATCTGAGTTTCCAGTTTCCACCCATGTCCCCTCGTTCTGTTATTATTACGTGTGAACATTTGATCTATTTCCACTTTGTCAATTCCCCTGAGTATTTTATATGTCCCTATCATATCTCCTCTCTCCCTTCTTTTCTCTAGTGTCGTAAGGTTCAGTTCCTTCAGCCGCTCTTCATATCCCATCCCTCGTAGCTCTGGGACAAGCCTCGTCGCAAACCTCTGAACCTTCTCCAGTTTCTTTATGTGTTTCTTCAGGTGGGGGCTCCATGATGGCGCGGCATACTCTAAGACGGGTCTCACGTAGGCAGTGTAAAGCGCCCTAAAAGCTTCCTCATTTAGGTTTCTGAATGAAGTTCTAATTTTCGCCAGTGTAGAGTACGCTGCTGTCGTTATCCTATTTATATGTGCCTCAGGAGTTAGGTTAGGTGTCACATCCACTCCCAGGTCTCTTTCTCGAATCGTTACAGGTAGGCTGTTCCCCTTCATTGTGTACTGTCCCTTTGGTCTCCTGTCACCTGATCCCATTTCCATAACTTTACATTTACTGGTGTTAAACTCCAGTAGCCATTTCTCTGACCATCTCTGCAGCCTGTTTAAGTCCTCTTGGAGGATCCTACAATCCTCGTCTGTTACAACTCTTCTCATTAATTTTGCGTCATCTGCACACATTGTGTGTGTGTGTGTGTGTGTGTGTGTGTGTGTGTGTGTGTGTGTGTGTGTGTGTGTGTGTGTGCCCCTTGAGGGGGGGTTTTGGTTAATACAGGTGCATTTTTTTTGGGGGGAGCCTTTATTAATGCAAGCGATTATTACAGGTATGTTGCAGGCGCTGTGGATCATTATTGGTGCGTTTGGGTGCCTCTGATTGGGCACAGGTGCGCCTGTGTGCTGCTGATTAGTGCTGGTTATTAGTACAGGTGTGTGTTTGAATGCTAGCGAGTAGAACAGATGACTAGCAGAGGTGTGTTGACGTGTTCTGGATTAGTGCAGGTGATTACCAAGACTTTGGTGGCATCTATGGTTAACTCTTTAGCATGTCGTGGTCCATCGGGTTAAGGCGCGCGTCTGGGGATATCCAGGACGCTGGTTCGAGCCCCGTCCTGCTCCAAAAATGTTCTCATTTATAACTTTCACTTGTGACTCCCTTGTGTAAGGTAAGGTAACTATCAGGGGAAAGCGCTAAGCTATTAGCTATATAGCACTGGGAAGGGGTCAGGATAAGGACTAGGGATGGGAGGAGAGGAAGGAATGGTGCCTAACCACTTGGACGGTCGGGGATTGAACGCCGACCTGCAGGAGGTCGTAGCTCTACCGTCCAGCCCAAGTTGCTGGACCTCCCATGTGTAAGACAAGTGTCTTGGGGATTTCGAAGTGTTTACGAGAACGATGGCGTCGATAGCTGAAGGAGTGACGTCCTGCCAGAGTTTGCTGGGAAAGTTATGCTGACGGACTCTGCAGGTTGCTGGGAGTTGCAGCTCACAGACCTTTGGTGGTCTGGGACCACCTGTGTCAACTTGAATAACCTAACTGTGGGATCTGGTCTGTGGGACCTCCCACTCTCAACTTTTACGTAGCCGTACGGAAAGAGAGGTGACATGATGACTGAGATGATGATGATGCCTGATGACTTGTGGTCAGAGAAAGTCATCAGCGAGGTGGGAAGGAGAGCAGTAGAACTACAAGTGTCAGCCCTGAGACACTGGAGCAGTGTAAGGAGAGTGTGGGAGTGTAGATGGTCTGGGACACCCACTTCTCCATCACCCGAGTTAGTCTGTGACTCTGAAGAGGCGGTGTGCACGGACGCCTGCCAAGTCCCAGGTGTAGTGTTGCATGGTTGCAGCTCAGTGATCAGTGTGTGTGTTGGTCTGGCATTAGGAGAGTTATCACTGATATTAATAAGCGAGGTTGTCTGAAGTGCAATTTGCAATCGCATTTAACCCCGAGGAAAGATTTTTTGATGTGATGAAAAGAAAGTGGTGAAGAGGAGAGAAGGTGTTGGAGGTAGAGAAGATGGTGAAGGTGAAGGGGAAGTGGTGAATGGAAGAGGTGGTGGTGAAGGGAGGGAAACTATCAGGAGAAAACTCCAAAGTCATTACGACTATATAGCACTTGGAAGGTATAAGGATTTGGATATGGGATGGGACGGGGGAAAGGAATGGTGCCCAACCACTTGGACGTTCGGGGATTGAACGCCGACCTACTCCTCACACTCCAAGTGAGAGGAGTAGAGTGACAACTTCTTTACTTTTCACCACCTTCCATAATCTTCACTTACTCTTCCCTTCACCAACCAACCACTTGGGGTTGACGGTAGAGCGACGGTCTCGCTTCATGCAGGTCAGTGTTCAATCCCCCGACCGTCCAAGTGGCTGAGCACCATTCCTTCCCCCCGTCCCATCCCATATTCAAATCCTGAACCCTTCCTAGTGGTATAGTGTTGTAATGGCTTGGCACTTTCTCCTGATAGTTCCCTCACCTCCCCTTCACATCCATCATCTGCGCCACCTCTGCTCTTCATCACTTTATATTCATCACTACACAATCAAAATTTTTTTATCAATTTTCCGGACATCTCACGAACAAATGACGAACATCTTTAACAGTCTTTGCATCACACTATCTTCCTCACTATAACCATGTTAAATACTCGCAACCATCATCCATCTCTGTAACCATCTACACTACACACAATCAGCGACACTGTAGCCATCTACACTACACCCGACCACCCTTATCAGTGTAACCATCCTCACTAACTACCTTCACCTCTGTACACCATAATTAGACCCTGGGGGGCACCGCTGGGTTCCCCCATCTACAACCTATCCTCTCCTTCATCACCACTTAACCCAACCCTCTTTTAAGGTATCCGGAAAGACTCTACCTCTTTATCCATAACATATCCACGTTTTCCTCAATTACATCTTATATATAAAAACATTTCACTCGTCTCGATCCTCAAAGACTCGAACTCACCATATGGATGAAGGAGTGAAATACATACAGAGATACCTTAGTTTAAAAAAAGTCTCGGATACCACTAAGGTACTCCTAAGCTCCTCCCTTATTGTTGGTACTCCTAAATTGCTGTCTACAGAAGTTCCCAAACCCAAAGGCAGCTTCCGTGAGACAGAGACAGAGAGATAGATAGTCTTACCCCCAGCGAAGAGCCCTGAAAGTTGAGCCCGTCTGAAAGCAGCATTGTGCACCTCGAGGTCTGCCGTCTCGTGGAACAGTCCCGGGATATCGGCGACGCAGCGGAGTACCAGTCGTCCCTGGTCGTCCCACACCTGCTGGCCCGGGGACACCACCAGGGACAGGGTCGACGTGTAGGTGTTGAACCCCTCCGCCCGGGGCGGCTGTGGTCGTACCAGTTCCCTGGGGACCTGTCGCAGGGCACAAAGTATAGGGTTAGGCAGACTGGGTACAAAGGTTGGGGCTAAGCACAGTTGGAAAAACATTAAGTAGAGGGATAGAGGGCGCAAAGAACATGGAACATCGGGACAGGGTGCAAGGAACAGGTTAATAGGGAAAGGGAATATGGGGACAGGGTACTGGAGACAGGGAACAGGAATAAGGGTATAAGGGATACAGGGAACAGGAACAAGGGTACAAGGGATACAGAACAGGATATAGGGAACATGGAACAGATTACAAGAAATACAGAACAAGTTACAAGGGCTACAGAACAGGGAATAGGGAACAAAGAACAGATTAGAAGGAATACAGAACAGGTTACAAGAGATTCAGAACAGGGTACAAGGAACAAGGAACAGGTTACAAATGATACAGAACAGGGTACAAGGAAGAAGGAACAGGTTACAAAGGATACAGAACAGGGTACAAGGAACAAGGAACAGGTTACAAGGGATACAGAACAGGATACAAGGAACAGCGGTACAAGGGATAGAAAACAAGGAATGGCTCCTCAAGAAATGAGAGGAAGAAGTAACAGAGATAATCCGAATTGAGAAACTGTTAGACATTAGTTAAAACACGTAAGTCGTAAATATATTCATTCAATTATTCAAAACTGAAAAGAAGGAAATGCGAATAAAAATGCAAAATAGAAAACCATCAAACTCGAAATAAAAATCATAGTTCAGTGAGTTCAGATTAGTTTATATATATATATATATATATATATATATATATATATATATATATATATATATATATATATATATATATATATATATATATATATATATATATATATGTCGTACCTAGTAGCCAGAACGCACTTCTCAGCCTAATATGCAAGGCCCAATTTGCCTAATAAGCCAAGTTTTCATGAATTCATTGTTTTTCGGCTACCTAACCTACCTAACCTAACCTAACCTAACTTTTTCGGCTACCTGACCTAACCTAACCTATAGAGATAGGTTAAGTTAGGTTTAGGTAGGGTTGGTTAGGTTCGGTCATATATCTACGTTAATTTTAACTCCAATAAAAAAAACTTGACCTCATACATAATGAAATGGGTAGCTTTATCATTTCATAAGAAAAAAAATTGAGAAAATATATTAATTCAAGAAAACTTGGCTTATTAGGCAAATTGGGCCTTGCATAGTAGGCTGAGAAGTGCGTTCTGGCTACTAGGTACGACATATATATATATATATATATATATAATATGTGTGTGGTAATATATTTTGTATAATTTTGAATGGCAGCATAATAATATGTATACTTCAGAATGAACACATTATAATATGTATAATTTAGAGCATTTCTTCATTAGAATAATTCCCGCCTTAATAGTAACTGTGAAAGAGGAGTCAGAACGGGAAAATCATTTAATTTAGCGTTGGGATAAGACGTGTGAGTGGCAGGCGAAGTGGGGAAGCTATGAGAGATGGAATTAAGATAGTGGTGATGAGAAGGGGAATATGAAAAGCCGCCAGGCTGAGGGGAATGAGGGAGGAGAGTGAGGGGGGGGGAAGGTCTCCTCAGCACCATGATCACTCACACTCAAAATTTGCTCATATGAGCTGTGGATGTTGGGGGGTGGGGGAGATCGCCTGAAGCAGGGGAGAATTACCGAAGTGGCGGGGGAATTTCACAGAGGAGTTTGGGGGGGAGGGGGGTGATAAAGAGAGAGAGGTTTAGCTAAAATTCATGAGGACCCCATTCCCATCCTGTGGGAGGTGGTGGACCCCTATTCCCATCCTGTGGGAGGTGGTGGACCCCATTCCCATCCTGTGGGAGGTGGTGGACCCCTATTCCCATCCTGTGGGAGGTGGTGGACCCCATTCCCATCCTGTGGGAGGTGATGGACCCCTTACCCATCCTGTGGGAGGTGATGGACCCCTTACCCATCCTGTGGAAGGTGGTGGAGCCCATACCCATCCTGTGGGAGGTGGTGGACCCCATACCCATCCTGTGGGAGGTGGTGGACCCCATACCCATCCTGTGGGAGGTGGTGGACCCCATACCCAACCTGTTGGAGGTGGTGGACCCCATATCCCTTCCTGTGGGAGGTGGTGGACCCCATACCCATCCTGTGGGAGGTGGTGGACCCCATACCCAACCTGTTGGAGGTGGTGGACCCCATATCCCTTCCTGTGGGAGGTGGTGGACCCCATACCCATCCTATGGGAGGTGGTGGACCCCATACCCATCCTGTGGGAGATGGACGCCATACCCATCCTGTGGGAGGTGGTGGACCCCATACCCATCCTGTGGGAGGTGATGGAACCCATACCCTTCCTGTGGGAGGTGGTGGATCCCATAACCTTCCTATGGGAGGTGGTGGACCCCATACCCATCCTGTGGGAGGTGGTGGACCCCATACCCAACCTGTTGGAGGTGGTGGACCCCATATCCCTTCCTGTGGGAGGTGGTGAACCCCATACCCATCCTGTGGGAGGTGGTGGACCCCATACCCAACCTGTTGGAGGTGGTGGACCCCATATCCCTTCCTGTGGGAGGTGGTGGACCCCATACCCATCCTATGGGAGGTGGTGGACCCCATACCCATCCTGTGGGAGATGGACGCCATACCCATCCTGTGGGAGGTGGTGGACCCCATACCCATCCTGTGGGAGGTGATGGAACCCATACCCATCCTATAGAAGGTGGTGGACAAAGTTACAGAAGCCCATTATAGGTTTAAGAACTGAGCCCCAAAAGTTATTTAGCTATGCAACTTACAAAAGTGGTAACAAGTGATGATGTAGTTACATATAGTAACATAAATGAATCAACAGAATGTTGCAGTGTTCATCAGGCTAACCATTACCGTTAGCTCAATAAGGCACAAAGAGGGGGAAGAGCGGCGAGTGTTTGACCTGCCAGTAGCAGCCCACCACTCTCCTACTTTACCAAAAAGTAACATTAAAAAGGAAGGAGAGAGATAGTAGCTTTCTGCTGTTCTATCTCTCTTTTAGATCTCTCTCTGGGAACACAAAAGTGGGCAGAAATTTCTGTCCACACGGCACAAATTATATAAATTGCCAGCCACAGTTTGTGGGAATTTGATTCAAGTCCCCTGGTTTATCAGGAAGGGTTTAATATGCCCGCTCCATTGAAAGCCACGTGAATGGAATGTTATTCCCCAAGCTTTTGTGTGATCTGTGGCGTGAGGACGGACACTTTTGTGCCCCGGGAGATCTAAATGAGAGTAGCAGATAGTGGTAGTGTGCGCTACTACCACTCTCGCCAGGCGAGAGTATATATATATATATATATATATATATATATATATATATATATATATATATATATATATATATATATATATATATATATATATATATATATATATATATATTTCGTTGAAAACGACAGAAAGTTTTTGATTTATGATTCTAGCACGAATCTTCTCGATATTCCTTATGTTTTTTTTCCCACTGAAGCAGGAAGATTAAAAAATAACTCTCCAAATTTCATTTTTACTTATTATTTGGGTTCTGACGCCTGGTGATGCGTTTCGTAAGGTCTCTCCTCACATTCTCAAAGACAAATTCTTCTGTGCAGCTCCTGATTATATCCTCTAGTGGTGAGGTGGTAGGTGACACGGACGAATGACATACATGGGGGTATTAAATGAATGGGGTATTAATGGGATAGTAAATTAAGAGTGTGACATGTTGGCAGTTTATGTTCTTTAGGTTGCTTCCGTTCCTGTTGCTGGGTCATTTGGTCCAGCTTCTGCATTGGTCCGGGGTCTTGAAGTGGGTAGAGTGTAACTGTGTGTTAGCTGGTTATTGATTGCTAGTCTAGATTTCTTGATATGCAGCGCCTCACTGATGTCTAATCTTCTATTGTCATTGTATCTATCAATTATTTCGGTGTTGGTCGTTAAAATATCCCTGGTGATCGTCTCGTTGTGTGTGGCGATTATATGCTCCTTGATGGAGCCCTGTTGTTTGTGTGTAGTTAAATGCCTAGAGAGAGATTGTTGTCTTGCCTATATACTGAGTTCGTTGGGGCTGACAGTCCCCAAGTGGGCAAGTGAATGTGTAAACAACATTGGTCTCCTTCAAGGCGTTCTTCTTGGTGTCGGGAGAATTCTTCATTAGCAGGTTGGCGGTTTTCCTACTCTTATAATATATAGTTAGTTTTATCTTTTGGTTGACGTCAGTTGGTGTAACACTCCTCTCAATGATCTCTTCTAGGGCTCTTTCCTCCGTTTTGTGGGCCGTCGAGAAGACGTTTCTGTAGAACAATGTTATTGGAAGTACGGGTATATCCCATACTAATATAATTCCCATACTAATCTTCCCATATTCATTGGGGTATTAGTTGTTCCGTCGCCTGTTGTACACCTTGCCACCTTCTTTTTTATGCAACAGGCGACTTAACTAATACCACAATCCTCGTACTTCCAATAAAATTGTTCTACAGAAACTTCTTCCCCAAATAATAAGTAAAAATAAACTTTGGAGAGTTAATTTTTAATCTTCCTGCTTCAGTGAAGAAAAACATACGGAATATCGAGATGATTAGTGCTAGATTTATAAATCTAAAACTGTCTCTCGTTTTCAACTAAATATGTTTAAAAGAAAGACAGAAAGTTTATTTCACAAAAAGGGTTACAGCATTGGTTACATGAAAGCTACAAGGCTACTTGTCGCAGGTTATAGAGTTCCTCTAGCTCCTTAGATGTCGGACAGGAATCATAGATGCAGTGAGCATTTCCTCTCTGGATCGCCACGTTAAGGCGCTGAAAAGCGCCAGGATCCAGTATATTTATATATAATATATATAATTTATTATTATTATGATTATCACAAAATACTGGATTCAACAATGCGTACGTAATCTCTAACCCAAGGAGCAAGCAGGGGGCAAAAACGAGTGTAAACACTTACCTTAGTATAGTTGTTAAACCAGGCCAGCTGTACGGGGGGGTTGGCACCCCTGGCCAGGCACAAGGCCTCCACCTGCTCCCCATCTCTCACCTCCAGGGGACCCGACCCGCTCCATCCAGCCACCTCGATTACTGGTCCAAACTTCCCCGCCGTGTTCCGGTCAGGCGGGTCTGAAATGTACGGGGGCAGAGATGAGCACTGTGGTCCGGTAGGAGATGGAGGAGGGAGGGAGTGGAGAGTGGGGGAGGCATGTTCCGAAGTGTTGGAATGAGACGAGAGACAGTCTTAGGGCACAGGGAACGTCTTAGGGCACAGGGAACGTCTTAAGGTACAGGGAACGTCTTAGGGCACAGGAAACGTCTTAGGGTACAGGGAACGTCTTAGGGCACAGGGAACGTCTTAGGGCACAGGGAACGTCTTAGGGCCCAGGAAACGTCTTAGGGTACAGGAAACGTCTTAGGGTACAGGGAACGTCTTAGGGCACAGGGAACGTCTTAGGGCACAGGGAACGTCTTAGGGCACAGGGAACGTTTCATACATGGGTACTGGTGATGTTTGGAAATGAGGAGATTGAATGGTGATGATTTTAAATGATTTTCGTGATAGATATTCGAGACATATTAATATATGAATCTGTTCTTCTGCCTCTCGCTATTAAATCGTCATTCTGTACCTATTATCACCATATTCAAGACCCCGACTTCCAGCGGCGAGCAAGTCTGAGTCTAGTCATGGGCAGGGAATAATATTTTAAATATATCATCAGGAAGTGAAACTCGAAACCATGGATACACATTTCATAAGTTTAGAATCAGAAAACTTAAGTGATATGTACTGGTTTGGCAAGAGGGTTATTGCTATATGCAACACTTTACCGGGTAACACATTAGCTGTGGCACCGGTGGATTGTTTCATGCGTAGGTTAGACATATATGTGAATAAATTTAGGTGGTATAAATAGGAGCTGCCTCGTATGGATCACAGTAGACCTTCGGTACTTTCCTTAATTTGCTGTTAATGGGAATATTGTTAGCATGGTGTTACAGAACAGCCAGAGAGAGAGAGAGAGAGAGAGAGAGAGAGAGAGAGAGAGAGAGAGAGAGAGAGAGAGAGAGAGAGAGAGAGAGAGAAAGAGAGAGAGAAATGGATACTCTCACCCTGTCCTCTCAACTAATACATCTCATTGTGTCCGTAATGGTCCCCAACGTATAAATTACGAAGTAATATTGAGATCAGCATTACACACATATATCCACGATTCTGGTAGATTAACACTCTGTATTCTGTACGTTGTGGCACACAAAGATAACGAGTTACACCGAGGGAGATACGAAGGCTTTGAGAAATAAAACGAGGCCCATAAAGTGTAGATCCAAAGAGCCAGTATTTCTTATCTTTTAATATATCCCGGCTGGATAATATATCCCTGCTGGATACTTTATCCCGGCTGGATAATATATCCCGGCTGGATAATATATCCCGGCTGGATAATATATCTCGGCTGGATACTATATTCCGGCTGGATAATATATCCCGGCTGGATACTATATCTCGGCTGGATACTATATTCCGGCTGGATAATATATCCCGGCTGGATAATATATCCCGGCTGGATAATATATCCCGGCTGGATAATATATCCCGGCTGGATAATATATCCCGGCTGGATAATATATCCCGGCTGAATAATATATCCCGGCTGGATATAATATCTCGGCTGGATACTATATTCCGGCTGGATAATATATCCCGGCTGGATACTATATCTCGGCTGGATACTATATCCCGGCTGAATAATATATCCCGGCTGGATATAATATCTCGGCTGGATACTATATTCCGGCTGGATAATATATCCCGGCTGGATACTATATCTCGGCTGGATACTATATCCCGGCTGGATAATATATCCCGGCTGGATAATACTTATGACTTGTTACGGGGTCGGCTGAGATGTGCTCGCTTTGTGTTGATGTGACGCATGTTGCCTCCTGAGGCGAGGGTCAGGATAACTGTGTGTGTGAGTATGAGAGTGCGTGTGTGCAAGTGTGTGTGTGCGAGTGTGTGTGCATGTGAGTGCGTGTGTGCAAGTGTGTGTGTGCGAGTGTGTGTGCATGTGAGTGCGTGTGTGCAAGTGTGTGTGTGCGAGTGTGTGTGCATGTGAGTGCGTGTGTGCAAGTGTGTGTGTGCGAGTGTGTGTGCATGTGAGTGCGTGTGTGCAAGTGTGTGTGTGTGCGAGTGTGTGTGCATGTGAGTGCGTGTGTGCAAGTGTGTGTGTGCGAGTGTGTGTGCATGTGAGTGCGTGTGTGCAAGTGTGTGTGTGCGAGTGTGTGTGCATGTGAGTGCGTGCGTGTGTGCAAGTGTGTGTGTGCGAGTGTGTGTGCATGTGAGTGCGTGTGTGCAAGTGTGTGTGCATGTGAGTGCGTGTGTGCAAGTGTGTGTGTGCGAGTGTGTGTGCATGTGAGTGCGTGTGTGCAAGTGTGTGTGTGCGAGTGTGTGTGCATGTGAGTGCGTGTGTGCAAGTGTGTGTGTGCGAGTGTGTGTGCATGTGAGTGCGTGTGTGCAAGTGTGTGTGTGCGAGTGTGTGTGCATGTGAGTGCGTGTGTGCAAGTGTGTGTGTGCGAGTGTGTGTGCATGTGAGTGCGTGTGTGCAAGTGTATGTGCGAGTGTGTGTGCATGTGAGTGCGTGTGTGCAAGTGTGTGTGTGCGAGTGTGTGTGCATGTGAGTGCGTGTGTGCAAGTGTGTGTGTGTATGAGTATGTGAGTGCGTGTGTGCAAGTGTGTGTGCGAGTGTGTGTGTGTGTATGTGAGTGCGTGTGTGCAAGTGTGTGTGTGTGCGCGCGCGCGCGCGTATGTGCGTGTAAGTGCATTTTTCATATAACAAATCCATTTCATGCATTTATCTGATCAATTAAATAAATTAAAAATAATAGAACTGATATAACAAAAACGAAACTAAGCAAAAACACTCGCAAAGATGCAGACCGCAAACCACAATAACGTGGCCGAACATTACACACAAAACAAAACACGAAAATATAAGAGAAGACGTTTCAGTCCATCTTGGACCTGAATAACGGTGATAAGAATAAAATAATAATAATAATAATAATAATCCACAGAAATCACAATAGCGTGATATCAAATGAACAAATCAACAAGGGCCTGATTGAGGGTTCGAACCCATGGTCAAAGAATTAGCACTCCAGGTTGCAATTCTTTTTACCATGTCCTGGTACTGTGGACTTGGACACGTCGGGGAATATCCAGCGCATAGGTTCGAATCCTCATTACGGCCCCTGTGGATTTGATAATAATTATAATAACAATTTAAATAATATTAATAATAATAAAAATAATAGTAATAAAAATAATGTTTAAAATGAGAGCAGTTTGCCTCCTTATTGGGAGCTGATTGTTGATATAAAAGGACCTGCCAGTCTGTGTGCATCTATTGATAATTACTTTCCTGCTCTAATAGGACCTTTTAATTGCAGTAATAGGACCTATTTATTGCAGTAATAGGACCTGTTTATTGCAGCAAGAGAACTTATTTATTGTTCTAATTGAGCCTATTTCTTTGCCTAATAGGACCTATTGCTTATTACTTTCTGTTTTTTGCTATAATTAGGACCTGTTTGTTGCTTTAATAGATTCTGCTTATTGCCCTAAACAGGACTTGTTTGTGGCTGTAACAGGACGTAAGCGTCACCTCCTGAACCAGCATAGCCACGCCCCCGCTGTAGCTGACATATGTAATTACCTCACATACATCATTGCCCACTATAATACATATACAAAATATTCAAACTTTTTTTGGAGGACTAAACTGAGCATGAAATAATGACCTCAGTAATACTGGCTTCATTTATGACAATATATATATAACTTTTTGAGGGGAGTATGAAATTAATAACTGAAAATTACTCAGAGATATTGACCTGTATGAATATTAATATATATTTTTTTTCTTATATGATATATATATATGAAGTATATATATAACATAGATATATGACCGAATACCCTATATACCTATATATCTTTATATAGGTTATATATAGGTTATATAGGTATAGATATATTATTCATATATAGGCAATCGGCTATGCATATAGGCATAGAATACTATACGACATATATATATATATATATATATATATATATATATATATATAGATATATATTCATTATTCATGCATTCATTATACAAAAATACACGAATATATATTGAACGCTAACCAGAGATCATAATTCACCAAGCACCCTCTCTAAAGACTATGGCGGATCTTATTGTGAATTAGTTGTAATTTAGAATATCAATACAAACCATGGAATGAAACATAGTATCATAAGTTTACAAAATAGAAATGCATTGTCATTTGCTGTCATGCACAATTCGCAATATTATTCATCACATTCACTAAATAACAAATTAGCTATTCACAGTCAAAGAGGAAAATAAAATCACAACATTCCCAGAATAAAAAAAAACAAAAATCTGAATTAATGCGAGGTTTGCTATATCAGAAAAAATCCCAGAAACAAATTCTCAGAAACATCCCAGAATAATCACAGAAAAATCACAGAATAATCCCAGACATACCAATCACCGTCATGTTTGCGGACTCTCTGAAGGTCTCGAAGTTGTCGTCAGAAATCACTTCACAGGTGAACATGCCGGAAGACTTCAGGGAGACGCTCTTCAGATTCACCTTGAACTCTGTCGAGTTTTCTGACTGTTGGAGAACACATTGACATAATTAATAGCGCATATTAATATTGTTTTCCCTACCCTTGCTTAAAAAGTATGTGTGTGTGTGTTTACTATTTGTGCTTGCAGAATCGAGCTATTAGCTCTTGCACCTTGCCTTTCTAACCAATCTATTTTTTTGTCTCATGTGTCTACTACAATATATATATATATATATATATATATATATATATATATATATATATATATATATATATATATATATATATATATATATAATATATATATATATTTCTCTATTAACACATGCGCGCACACACACGCTCACACATCCCCAGGAAGCAGCCCATCGTAGCTGTCTAACTCCCTGGTACCTATTTACTGTTAGGCGAACAAGAGCATCAGGGGGGAAAGGAACTCAGTCGCTTTGTTTCTGCCTCGGCAGGGAATCGAATCCGGACCCTTATGACTACGACCCCCGAGCGCTGTCCATTCAGCCACGATGCCCCCCAAATGTGTGTGTGTGTGTACACTCACCTATTTGTGTCTGCAGGATCGAGCATTGACTCTTGGATCCCGCTTTTCGGCCCATCGGTTGTTTACAGCAATGACTCCGGTCCTATTTCCCTATCATACCTAGTTTTAAAATTATGAATAGAATTTGCTTCCACAACCTGTTCCTTAAGTTCATTACATTTTTCCACTACTCTCCCGCTAAAAGAAAACTTCCTAACATCTCTGTGACTCATCTGAGTTTCCAGCTTCCACCCATGTCCGCTCTTTCTGTTACTATTCCGTGTGAACATTTCTCTGTCAATCCCCCTGAGTATTTTATACGTTCCTATCATATTCCCGCTTCTCCCTTCTTTTCTCTAGTGTCGTAAGGCTCAGTTCCTTCAGGCGCTCTTCATACCCCAGCCCTCGTAACTCTGGGATGAGTCTTGTTGCAAACTTCTGAACCTTTTCCAGTTTCCTTATGTGTTTCTTCAGATGGGAACTCCATGATGGCGCGGCATACCCCAAAACTGGCCTCAAGGAGGCAGTGTAAAGCACCCTAAATGCCTCTTTACTTATGTTTCTGAATGATGTTCTAACTTTTGCCAGTGTAGAGTACGCTGCTGTCGATATCCTATATACATGTCTCAGGAGTTAGATTAGATGTTACGTCCACGTCCAAGTTTCTTTCTCGAGTCATCACAGGGTAGGCAATTCCCTTTCATTGTGTACTCCTTTGGTCTCTTGTCACCTCATCCCTTTTCCATAACTTTACATTTGCTCGTGTTGAACTCCAGTAGCCATTTCTCTGACCATCTCTGCAACCTGTTCAAGTCCTCTTAGAGGATCCTACAATCCTCATCTGTCACAACTCTTCTCATCAACTTTGCGTCATCCGTGAAAATCGATATATAGGATTCTACTGCTGTAAACATGTCATTAACGTATATTAGAAATAGAATTGGTCCCAGCACCGATCCTTGACTGCAGTGTGGAAACCTCCGCTCCTTTCCAGGATGGGAAGGATGGGAAGCTGCCCTTTCTAGATGTAACAGTCATGGAAAGGAGCGGAGGTTTCCACACTGCAGTCTACACTAAGGAAACAAACATAGGAATGTGCCTCAATGCCAACAGTGACTGCCCAGACAGGTACAAGAGGAGTGTCGTTAACGCTTATGTCGACGGTGCTCTCAGCCACAGCTCAGGATGGAAGCAAGTCGATGAAGAACTCTGTAGGGTACGGCAGGTCCTAGTCAACAACGGCTTCTCCAATGGTTTCGTTGAAGACATCATTAGAAGGAAGGTGAAACGCCATGCAACCTCTGAAGAGACAACTAACACTACACCTGTACCCCCTATTAGACTATTTTACAGGAACTTCTTTTCCACAGTTCATAAAACGGAGGAAAGGGTCCTGAAAGATATTGTTAATAGAAACGTTATCCCTACAGACAAAAATCAGAAGATACAATTGACGATCTACTATAAAACCAAGAAAACGGCCAACCTACTCATGAGAAACTCTCCAGACACAAAGCAGAACGCTTTAAAAGAGACCAATGTCGTCTATGCCTTCAAATGCCTACTTGGGGGACTGTAAGCTCAAAGAATTCAGTATATAGGCAAGACAACAACATCTCTTTCCAGGCGATTAACGATGCATAAGCAACAGGGCTCCATTAAGGAACATATAATCTCTTCCCACAACCAAACCATCACCAGAGAAGTCTTAACAAAAAACACGAAAATCATCGATAGATACAGCGATAGCAGGCGGCTTGATATCTGCGAGGCACAACACATTAAGAAGTCGACACCAGCAATCAACAGCCAATTATTGCACAACTATATTCTACCCACTTCAAGACTCCGCACCAATATAGAAGCATCAAGAAATATGGGCCAATAGGCCCTTTGCAGTTACTTCCATTCTTCCCTTTAACTTACAAAATATTATACCCATTGTTTCGTGTTCTGTCTTGTGTTGAAAGTTTGTTTTCACCTCATCCAAAACTGTTGTAACATATCACCTCACCCAAATGCAAGTATAAAATCGAAGCTGTTTAAACTCTGTTTAACGGGAGACATCTCCCGTCACGCAGAGTGCAGTCGCACCTCCATAGATCTCCAGTATCAGCTCTTGATACTGGTAATGGCTCAAAAGGGCCACCACTTACGGGCTATTCATGCCCGTGCCACCTCTTGGGTGGCTTCATCTTCATCAATCAATCAACTCTGTTTAGTTATAGTTGTGTGTGTGTAAACTAAAGTCTTTGAAAATGTAATAAGTTATTACGAAACGCGTTCAAGTGTCGCGTCAGACTAGAAATAAAAATTAATTTTGGAGAATTGATTTTTCAGTTACCATCAACAGTGAAAAGAAATATAAGAAATATTGAGAAAATTCGTGTTATAATTATTAATCTTCTTTTTCGGTCATATTTAATAATATATGTCTACAGGAGAGACTGCTACCAAAATATACTAATATACATACATATATATATATATATATATATATATATATAATATATATATATATATATATATATATATATATATATATATATATATATATATACATACATACATATATAAAAACAAATATGAATATCTGTCATTCACCTAGGCAATAGGAGTCTGTCTCCCGACCTCTAGTACGGGAACAGTCGCTCTATCAACTGCGCTACTGGCTAGCCTTAAGAGGGAAGGATTCCAAGGCAACTAACCGCTACCCAATGAACTTGTCTTCCCTGGCCTGCCACTCGAACACAGGAGCATCAGGTAGTCCTTGTCCTGAGTCATGTAACGCTTTACCTCACTACCCTGCATGTAACATTTCATTCAGCTGGGCAGTACGAGCCTCGAACACCCGACCTCCATCAAGGGTAGCCCAGTAGCGCAGTTGATGAGAGGGAAGTATCAGGGGAAAGCGCCAAGCTATTACGACTATATAGCACTGGGAAGGGGTCAGGATAAGGACTTGGGATGGGATGGGACGGAGGAAAGGAATGGTGTCCAACCATTTGGACGGTCGAGGATTGAACGCCGACCTGTATGAAGCGAGACCGTCGCTCTACCGTCGAGCCCAAGTGGTTGGGCTGCAGTTGATAGAGCGACTGTCTCTCTATGCTGGAAGTCGCGAGTTCTACGAAACTTCCGACCTCCGAAAACATTTTTTTTTTAAACCCTCGACCTAAAAATCCACGCAAATTACTTATAAACTAGAATAAACGATCATTACAATATACAAATTTATTGGCAAGATGCAATACCGTACGTAGGCCTATATATGCAATGTTGGACTTCAAAAGTGCCGGCTGCAACAACGTCTCCTGTCATACATTTCTCAGCACGAGCGAGGACGAGAGAGGGGGGGAGAGGGAAGGTCGTGGGGCTCCCGAGCCAAACTTGCAGGAATTTAACTATGCAGCGCTCACAGATATTTTATCTCCCAGGGCAGCCAGAACACAGAGTCCAGCCTCTTTATTTACTCTGTTTTTTGAGGGGCTGGAGGAAGGGGCAAGGCACGCAGGGGAGAGAGGATGGGGCTGGGACAGAAGGGGGTGAAAGGAATGGGGGGGGGGGGGTGGAGAGAGGGGGGGGAGGATGGGAAAGGGGGGGGGGGTTCAGCGGGGGTTGGACAGGTTCTGTCGACAGGTATACAC